ATCCGAGCTTTCCGAGTGGAGATTTTTATCACTTCCAATCCAAGGTCTTTAGCAATATTTCCAACAATAGAACCGGGCCTCATCTCCTCCTGAATGGAATAGCTCAGGTCTGCAGCAGAGACCCTTATGTAAAAAATAATACTGAAGACAAATTTCAGTAAGAACTGTCCGCTGAAGGCCATCATTTCAGCCGAACTGAGAAACAGTCAGAAAATCTCCTTTCAGCGAACAAGCTGGATATTTAGAAAATGTTGGCCAGCAGAGCTCCCGCAACAATGGGAGCAGTTTTTTTCAAAACAACGGTTTTGCAGCACGAATGTAATTTTATACAGGGTGGAGAGCTAAGCTATATCTGCAAGCGAATAGCGACTCCGTGAGTTGATTTTGAAAATTACCAAGTAAACAAAACGAAATCATTCCACATTTAAACTCTGCACTAAAAGAATGAATCAAAAATGTATTATTAAATCTGTACTAAGAAAACGTATTTGAAATTCCCAGTTTTACATGCTAAGCCAAGAAACAAATAATCAGAAACATCCGTTGTTATGCACACCGACGCGGAATCATGAAGCCCAAAGCGAAATGGTGCTAAATAAATAAATAAACAAACAAATAAATAAATAACACATTAATGATTAATTAAGTAGGCTACTACCCTTACCTTTTACAAAATAAAAACCTCTAATTCACATTTTCCATTAGGTAAAAACAAATGTAGAATTATTCCTCATATAGAACCTTTAAAAGATTTAAAGGTAACAGAAAAAAAGAAAGAAAAAAAAAACAACATGTCTGAAGATGTAAAAAAAACAAAAAAAAAAAACAATTATTTTTATTCAAACTGCTTTCTTTTCCACACACGGACAGTAGATCAACTGATGTGAAAGTTGAAATAGACAGCATTGTTACAGTGTCTGATAAAGATTATGATTTCCTCAGTAAGATGATTGTGTGCTAATTGACAAAATTTAGGACTCTTGGGTCATAAAGCAAATAGTTAAATAAAACTAATTGGAATTAGCTAATTCTTTTATTATGACCTTTTAAAAAAAAGTAATAGTAAAAGATTAAATATTAGAACGGTTGGTTTAATGAAATGCTGTCCAGTTTCATAGAAAAAATATTCTCCAAACAGTTTATTTGCATAATCAAGTATCTACATAGATCTACTTTAGGAATATCTAATTTTAGACAAATCTGAGATAAACAGGAAAAAAATGAAATACAGTTAAAGGGCCTACATTAGGGTCATTGTCTGACCAGCTGATGGACTTTACTTCAGAGTCTGACCAGCAAGCAGTGTATTGTCATTGTAAGATGATATAAACTTAAAATAACTGGTTCCAGATCCTTTTATCATGTAGGTGTCAAAATTAAAAATGCTGTATACAGTTCCTGCGGCATCATCATCTGCATAATTAAAGGGGAAATAAGCTCCAGGGATGGCACCTGCTCCATCAAACAACACTCTGGGTTTTCTCCTGCAACAACACCTCACACCAAGGATGATGATGATGAAGGTAAGAAAAAAAGTGGACAAAGAATTCAGCGCAGTGATCAAATAAGATGTCATTTTTGAGTTCTTCTCATCATAAGAAATATCTTTCAGTTCCGGCACCTCTACTAAATTATCAGAAATAAGTAAATACATGGAACAGGTGGCAGACAGAGAGGGCTGTCCGTTATCTTTCACTGCAATAATCAGGTTCTGTTTCATGCTGTCAGATTCTAAAATGTCCCGCTGTGTTCTGATCTCTCCACTGTGTAGATCAATACTGAAAAGTCCAGGATCAGTGGCTTTGACTATATGATAGGACAGCCAGGCGTTCTGTCCAGTGTCTACATCCACTGCTATGACTTTGGACACCAGAAAGCCTCCATGTGCAGCTTTAGGGACCAGCTCAGTCATAAGGGAGCTTCCCTCCATGTCAGGATATGGAACTTGGAGGAGGTTGTCATTCACATCTGATATGAACACATTGACAGTCCAGTTGCTGCTAAGTGTTGGAGAACCATTGTCTCCGGCCATAACATTAACTTTAAAACTCCCGAACTTTTCATAGTCACATGATCTTATGGTGTGGATCACCCCTTCGTCTCTATTAAGAGATAGGTAGGAGGAAGCAAAGACACCATTTACTATACTAGATAACAAGCAATAAACAACTGTACCATTTTGTCTCCAGTTTGGGTCTCAAGCAGAAACTGAACATAAAGGTAAGCCGGATTTGATATTTTCAGTTATCTATGTGCTATAGGACTGTTCCTCAAAAACTGGTGGGTTTTTGAGGAGACAATGATTGAGATATTGTAATTAAAACTAGTTAACTTTCCAGCTGTCCTATGGATCACCAGCTAATAATAGTTTTTAATAGACAGCACTAACTTAAAAGGAAAATTTTGCTCGTCGGAGCATCTCACTTTTAGGTTATCCTCCGTGTCTCTGTCTTGTACGTTAATAATACCCACCACCTTTCAGGAGAGTTCAGCATCAGAGCTAAGGCCATATCTATATTTAGCATCCATATGTATTTCATAAACAAACTCTTCCTCAAAATCAAGAGGGCCAATAACGTATATTTCTCCTGTTTGTGATTTAGCGCAAAAATCTGTTTACCAGTTTCCAGATATACTGTATGACTTCAGATAAGTAACCACTCCGTTTAAACCCTCATCTTTATCAGTTGTTGCCAGTGGTGTCAAAAGCACACACATTGGTTACTGAAGTACAAGTATAGATACCGCAGTTTGAAAACACTCTGGTAAAAGTTGAAGTATCAACTTGACCTTTTTACAAAAGTGAAAAAATATGTGCTCGAAAATCTACTTAAAGTATAAAAGTATAACATAACCTTTAAAATAAACAGCTAGATGTCACTGTATGAATTGAAAGCTCAAATTTTTGACTATTTCAAAAAATTCTTTGAGATAGGGCCAAGGATGAGGGAGGTCTTGTTAGTCTCCGTCTCCATCTCCCGACACGCTCTCACCTTTGTCCGTTCTTTCAGACATTTCAACATCTTTTTCTGAATCCGACATTGTAGCATGGCATAGACAATTCACGTTTGCAGTTTGAAGAACACCTGCTTGCTTCTGATGATTTCCTTTAACAAACCATTGTGTGTTTGCGTTATATGACTCATCCATTGACACTAGTTTTCACTAGATGTGGATGGCGCCAATGATCTGCATTGGATGCTGCACATGACGTGAAATAAATATTTATAAACATTAAACCAGGGGTAACCAATTAAAAATCACCTGGGTCCAAATAAAGAAAATCATCAACCAGTAAAGGTCAGGTAACATTTTTAATGATCTGTTACTTTAAACAGAATTTAACGCTGAAATAAAATGAGGTGTTTATGCATTCATGTTATACAATTAATTTTTAAAGAAAAAGATATATATATATATATATATATAAATGTATATATAAAATTTTTCCATTTTAAAATCTAAAGTGTTTTTTGAAGTACAGAAAAACAATAATTCAGTTCGGTATATAGAAAATGTCCTGATTCACATATTTTTCAAAACACCTGAACTGACCGTTTGTTTTTGTTTTTCTTTTTTATGGCTTAATGGGAGCGGTTGACTTTAGGCTGCCCTGCAAGAATTTAAACCTGGGTTTGAATGGCGACAAAGCAATTCTCAAGCACATATCAAGGTGCTCATTCGTGAGCCTGAATCCATACTAATTTTTGATTCTGTTCATGGTGGAAAATCTTGCTTCACAGCAGTAGGTTGAGCCAAATATACTCAAAATGTGCGGGCTCTGCTCCAGTCAAGCCCGGTCAAGATCCACAATTGCAATCGCACCAAACAGGAAAAAGAACGGCGTGAAGATCCGGTTTGTCAAATTAAAATATAATCACAACAGATTGGTAACTTCAAATTAGAGCATAATTATATTTATGATTAAAAGTCAGAAGTAGGAGGAACAATAAGTAATGAAGTGAAGTATAGATACCTAAAAAGTGTACTTAAGTACAGTAACAAAGTATTTGCACTTTGTTACTTGACACCTCTGGTTGTGGCTACTTTCTACTGTATCTACAGGAGTGTTTTCAGGATCCACGGCTTCATATACTACTTAACTAAAAATTGGTGGATTATCATTTGCATCTAAGAAAATCACATGCTGCAGTTCCCGTTCTTCTTGGATTGCCCCCCCTAATGCAGAGAGCAATAATTTCAGCTTTTGTTGCTCTACACTGGAAGTCATCTGTTTTCATCTTTTTATAGGACATACTTATATTGCAACAGAATATTCTTCACCACTAAAGAAGTTAATAGAAATAATTATTGTGCAAATATTTTACATGGAAATATGCTTCATAAAACAGTTATTAACTGGAAAACTAAAATACAATCTAACTTAAATTACCAAAATCAATGCAGCAAGGAGAAAATAAATTACAAATGCACACAAAGGCTGGAAACAGCCTTTTCATTAGGCTAAAAACAAAACTTGGAAATGTGAGGGATATCGATATTTTTAGCATGACAAAAGGATCTCAGACTTATGATTCCAATTAAGTTAAATTAATTTCATTCAGCTCTTTTTTAAATCAAAATTTTTAAGGTACATTGAAAAATCAACGGATTCAACTTACGTAATCACAGTATGATGCAGTATGATCACATAAATGTAACTGATGCAAAAGGTTATCTTCAACTGTCATAGGATCTTAATACATGGCAATGTGTTTCGACAACTTTTAAGCTATTCCATAGGGAGCAGAGTGTTTGCCATCATGCATCATTGGGAGAAAATTCTGGGGAAGATAGCCTGGCAAACGGACCAAGGATTGAATCCTGCGAGAGTAAAACATGAAGAGGCAGCCTTCTAATAAGAAGGGCACACTGCTACAACCATTAAGCTACATTGTAGACATGTCCATTATACATCTTTAAAACCAACAAGCTTCATGCCTTTAAAGAATTTCTAACTTGAACAATGTGTGTGAAATGGAAGCTAGATAGTTTAATGACTAACATTTTTGTGTTAAAAGGCGTTTAAAATACTGAATTGTTCCTACCTCTGGAGAGGAATCAGCATCTCCAAATATAGCAGAAAAATCTGTTGAACATTTCTTCAGGGTCTGGTCAGCAGGCAGAGTGTTGTCATTGTAAGAAGATACAAATTTAAAGTCACTGGTTCTGGATCCTGTTGTCAGGTATGTGTCATAATTGTAAGCGCTGCGTAAAGTCCCTGTGCCATCGATATCTGCATAATTTGGAGGAAGATAAGCTCCGGGGATGGCAACTGCTCCATCAAACAACAGTCTGGGCTTTCTTCTGCGACAAAACCTCACACCAAGTATGATGATGATGAAGGTTAGAAAGAAGGTGGACACAGAAACCAGCGCAATGATCAGATATGAAGTCAATTTGGAGTTCTTCTCATCATAGGATATGTCCTTTAGTTCTGGCACCTCAGCCAAGTTATCAGAAATAAGTAAATACATGGAACAGGTGGCAGACAGAGAGGGCTGTCCGTTATCTTTCACTGCAACAATCAGGTTCTGTTTCATGCTGTCAGATTCTAAAATGTCCCGCTGTGTCCTGATCTCTCCACTGTGCAGATCAATGCTGAAAAGTCCAGGATCAGTAGCTTTGACTATATGATAGGACAGCCAGGCGTTCTGTCCAGAGTCTGCGTCCACTGCTATAACTTTGGAGACCAGAGAGCCTCCATGTGCAGCTTTAGGGACCAGCTCAGTCATGAAGGAGCTGCCCTCCAGGGTGGGGTAGAGAATCTGAGGAGAGTTGTCATTCACATCCGATATGAACACACTGACAGTCACGTTGCTGCTGAGTGGAGGAGAACCATTGTCTCTGGCCATGACGTGCACTTTAAAACTTCTGAACTGTTCATAATCAAACGACCTTAAAGCATTGATCGCTCCCGTGTCGCCATTAATAGAGAGATACGATGACAGAGAAGCACCGTTTACCTCACCAGGTAACAGAGAATAAATCACTGTACCGTTTTGTCTCCAGTCTTTGTCTCGAGCAGAAACGGAGCATAAAGTGGAGCCAGGTTTGTTATTTTCACTCACATATGCGCTATAGGACTGTTCCTCAAACACAGGTGGGTTATCGTTAATATCAGCTACAGATAACTGAAGCGTTTTAGAGGAGGACAGAGGAGGTGAGCCCTCATCAGTGGCTGTGATTGTAATGTTGTAATACGACACTTGTTCACGGTCCAGTTGTCCTGTTGTTATCAAAGAATAGTAGTTTTTAATTGACGAAACCAATTTAAACGGGATATTTTCCTGGATTGAGCAGCGGACCTGTCCGTTTTTCTCAGAGTCTCTGTCCTGCACATTAATTATACCCACTTCTGTATCAGTGGCTACGTTTTCAGGTATAGGGTTGGAGAGTGATTTCAAGAAAATCTGCGGCACATTGTCATTTTTATCCTCAATATTAATTAACACTTTGGTATATGCAATTAAACCTAATCCATCTTTGGCTCCAACGCTCATTTCAAAAGAAGTAGTGTCTTCAAAGTCAATCTCACCAGCTATCGTAATTTTTCCTGTTTTTGCATCAATAGAAAATAAACTGGCATCTTCCCCTGATATATGCCCAAATAGATATGTTACTTCTCCATTCACTCCTTCATCTGCATCAGTAGCACTGACAGTAATCACTAATGTTTCTGGTGGTGAGTTTTCAGGCACACTTGTTTTATACACAGCCTGCGTAAACACTGGGGTGTTATCGTTAGCATCCAGCACTGTAACATGGATGACTACGCTACCCGATTTCTGCGGAGATCCGCCATCTAAAGCTGTTAGAAGTAAATTAATTTCCTTTTGTTTTTCCCGATCAAGTTTATTTTCAAGTACCAAAGCAACCACTTTATTCTCAACGGCAAGAATAAAATGTTCGTTAGTTTGCAGGATATATCTTTGGATATCATTTTGACCTATATCTGCGTCGTGCGCAACTCCGATAGAGAAGCGACTACCTTTTTCAGATGACTCACGTATTTCCATTTTCATTAGATTTTCTCTGAATTTTGGCGAGTTATCGTTTACATCTTGCACATGAAGACTGACTCGATGAAGCTCCAAAGGATTTTCAAACACCAGGTCTATTTTCACGACACACGATGCTTTCTTACCACAAAGGCCTTCCCTGTCTATTCTCTCCGATATGAATAAATCACCGGTGTTTATATTAATGTCACAGTAGCGCTTACGAGTCCCTTCAATATCCACACGAGCCCTTCGAGAAGATAATGTCCTAAGATCAACTCCAAGATCCTTGGCGACATTTCCAATAACAGATCCTCGTTCCATCTCCTCCAGAAAAGAATAGCTCAGATCTCCAAGCACGAGATGCATTGTTACAAAGATGGAAAAAAAACAGACGATTGAAAAATGCGCTGAAAATCCTTTGTCTCCCATTTTCCTTGTAAATGATCCTCAAATTAAGAGATAGAAAATACCACGGTGTAAATATAACGCGCGTGTTAATTAAAGATACGCATATGCAGCACCTTGTTCAAGTGCCGAGCAGCTTTCGTGACAAGGCTTTAGCCGTTTTCTGTGTATAAAAGGGTGAAGATGCAAGGCTCATTATTTCTTTGGTGAACCAACAGCGACACCGTGAGTTGTTTTTATACAAGTTAGAACCTTGAATTCTTATTTCTACTCCTTAAAACTAATGTAGATACGAATAATATGTTTGTAGTAAATATTTTAAATACATTTTAAACGGAATAGTTGAAAAAACGGCAACTTAGGGACTTTAGAGATGAAAGGATGTAAAGGGATCAGAAGAATATGACCGTGCTGTGTCTTTTTCTCATACATTTTATTATCATTCAGTTCTTTTCTATTATGATTTATTATCAACATTCTAACTCATTTGGTTTTTACATGGTTTTTAAGATTTTTTAAGAAATAAAATATAATAATATAAATCATCATAACTTCATTAACAATTTAAACAACTAAAAACTATGATTTTTTTGTGCAAAACTGAAAGCACTGAGCGTCATTTCAGTACCTCGGACAGTTACTTTGAGTATAGATTCTACTGGGGAGATAAAGCAAGTTTCTCAAGAATTTCTTGAGAAATTCTGAAAGACAATATGTCAACAAATGAGTTAATCAGCTTCTAAAAATCAACACATCTTGAAAAGGGGTCTGAAATAGCCAAAATTCAAAATTGGGGAATTTAAGACACAAAACACTCTTTTAGTAAAATAAACAAAAAATATGTATCAAATTCCAAAATAAGCATAAATCCCCTACCTCTCCAGGTGTCTCCAGTGCTTCAAAAGGATCTGCAAACTCAGCAGGAGCTTTATTTAGAGTCTGGTCAGCAGGTAGCGTGTTGTCATTGCAAGATGATATGAACTTAAAGTCACTTGTTCTTGAGCCTGATGTCAGGTAGGTGTCATAATTGTAGGCGCTGCGTAAAGTTCCAGTACCATCAACATCTGCGTAATTAGGAGGTAGATACCCTCCAGGGATGGTGACTGCCCCGTCAAAATACAGTCTGGGCTTTCTTCTCCGACAAAACCTCAAACCCAGAATAATGATGATGAAGGTCAGAAAGAAGGTGGACACAGACACCAGCGCCACAATCAGATAAAATGTCAGTTTGGAGTTCTTCTCATAAGAAAGATCTTTCAGTTCGGGCACTTCAGCCAAGTTATCAGAAATAAGTAAATACATGGAACAGGTGGCAGACAGAGAGGGCTGTCCGTTATCTTTCACTGCAACAATCAGGTTCTGTTTCATGCTGTCAGATTCTAAAATGTCCCGCTGTGTCCTGATCTCTCCACTGTGCAGATCAATGCTGAAAAGTCCAGGATCAGAGGCTTTGACTATATGATAGGAAAGCCAGGCATTCTGTCCAGAATCTGCGTCCACTGCTATGACTTTGGAGACCAGAGAGCCTCCATGTGCAGCTTTAGGGACCAGCTCAGTCATGAAGGAGCTGCCTTCCAGGGTGGGGTAGAGAATCTGAGGGGAGTTGTCATTCACATCCGATATGAACACACTGATGGTCACGTTGCTGCTGAGTGGAGGAGAACCATTGTCTCTCGCCATCACTTGGAATTTAAAACTTCTGAACTGTTCATAATCAAATGACCTCACAGCATGGATCACCCCTGTGTCTCCATTAACAGATAGATAAGATGATACAGAAGCACCGTTTACCTCAGCAGGTAACAGAGAAAAAATCACTGTACCGTTTTGTCTCCAATCTGGGTCTCGAGCAGAAACAGAGCATAAAGTGGAGCCAGGTTTGTTATTTTCACTCATATGTGCGCTGTAGGACTGTTCCTCAAACACAGGTGGGTTATCATTGATATCAGCTACAGATAACTGAACTATTTTAGATGAGGAGAGAGGTGGAGAGCCCTCATCAGTAGCAGTGATTGTAATATTGTAATTTGACACTATTTCACGATCCAGTTCCCATGTAGTCACCAAAGAATAATAGTTTTTTATAGACGGAACCAATTTAAAAGGCACGTTTTCTTGGATGTTGCAGCGAACCTGTCCATTTTTATCAGAGTCTCTGTCCTGCACATTAATGATTCCAATCTCTGCTCCTGGTGACACATTTTCAGGTATGGGATTGGATAATGACTTTACATAGATATATGGCGGGTTATCATTCAAATCATTTACTTCTATTAACACTTTAGCGTAAGAGGTTAACCCTAATCCATCTTTTGCTTGTACCTTCATTTCAAAAGAGCTAATTTCTTCAAAGTCAATCACACCAGTTACTTTCACCTGCCCAGTTTTCAAATCGACAGAAAATAAACTTATATCTTGATCAGATAGATGACCAAAATGATAGGTAACGTCTCCATTCACTCCTTCATCTGCATCAGAAGCACTGACAGTAATCACTATTGTTTCTGGTGGTGAGTTTTCAGGCACATTTGCCTTATATACAGCCTGAGTGAACACTGGGGCGTTATCATTAGCATCTAGCACTGTGACATGGATGACTACAGTGCCTGATTTATGGGGAGATCCGCCATCTAAAGCTGTTAAAAGTAAATTTATTTCCCTTTGTTTCTCTCGGTCAAGTTTATTTTCTAGTACTAATTCGACTTTGTTACTATCCACAGCAAGAATGAAATTATCGTTTTTTTCTAACATGTATCTTTGCACTGCATTTTGACCTATATCTGGGTCGTGGGCCTCCTCTATGGAGAAGCGATTCCCCTTTTCAGAAGACTCGCTTATTTCCATTTCAATCTTATTTACTCTAAATTTAGGAATATTGTCGTTCACATCTTGTACGTGAAGACTTACACGATGAAGCTCCAAAGGGTTTTCTAGGACGAGGTCTACTTTTAAGATACACGATGGTTTCTTTCCACAAATGCTTTCTCTGTCAATTCTGTCTGATATTATTAAATCCCCGGTGTTCATATTAACGTCGCAATAGCGCTTCCGATTACCTTCAGAATCAACACGGGCCTTTCGAAGTGAAAATTTATTTAAGTCTTGTCCAAGGTCTTTAGCAAAATTTCCTATTATAGATCCTCGTTTCAACTCCTCTGGAATGGAATAGCTTAGATCTCCGATGACAAAAGGTGTCAGAATAGAGACAAAGAAGAGGACAGAAAAAATTACTGAAACTCCTTTCTCTTCCATTTTAGACAAAAAGAAAAAAGGGAATATTAGTCCATCAATTGCGGTGTGTTATGGGCACAGGAGGAGTGTAGATTTGTCCAGTGATGCACAGTTACTAAGCAATTGTTATTTTCACGATCACGGGTAGGGAAATAACCAGCTCCCGTGACCAAAATGGAGCTGTGACTTCAGCCGTAATTGGACTACGCAAGTGTTTTTTTAAGCCTCATCAGTCAACAGCGTCCCCTTGAGGTTTTTGTATGCAATTGACTACTCTATTGCTCTTTATAATAAAAATGTGTATATTTTAAATATATATATATCCTGTCAAAATATTAACAGCTCATTTAAAACATAAAACACAGCTGTATCTATGTACACATGAAGAGAAAATAGGTTTTGGATAGTGAAAATATATTTCTATTAGGTTTCACTATAACTTTCTAAAAGGATAAAAAAAACTTGCTGGCTCTGATAACTAATTTTTCATTCATGTATACGTGTAATGACAAAACATTTACTTTTATACTTTTCCAACTAAACCAAAAAAGTGTCCTAATGATGTTTTTGGGGATTTTTTTGTTTTAAACAGTATAGCTTTAGTGTGTAGTTTAAGGTAGCATTTCTGCATTCAAACATTTGTACCACTGCCAGTAACCTTCATACTTTCTAATGACAACCATACCCTCTTCTTTCCCACCTCCCTCCATGTGAACGTGCCATTCCCTAAGCAGACATGAAGTCAAAGGTATGCTCAATGGTGCAAATATTCCCTCCTCTCTTCCACCCTGCCAAATTTATTTACTACTTTTTACTCAGCATAATGCTGTAAAAAAAGGCAGAGAAAAGAAAAATAAAGAAAGGTACAGCAGGCAGCCCAAGGAAGCAGCACTCTGCTCTCCTGAATCATCCAGCAGCAGCTCCAGATGAGGAGGAGAAATATGCTGAAGAGAGGTCAGGGCCGATACCAGAATCATCCATCCATCCATCCATCTATCTATCTATCTATCTATCTATCTATCTATCTATCTATCTATCTATCTATCTATCTATCTCAATTATAATTATAGTCATTATTACTGTAGTTATGATAGTTATATGTACATTAATTATTACTATATTATTACAATAATTACTTTTTTGTAGAAAAATGTGTTATGTGTCAATGCCTTTACAGCATAGTCCAAAAGTGTCTTAAGTAGATGCTAAGTTTGAGACTGTGGAGGCATACTTTTGGAGTGCTGGGTACTATACTCATGTATATACTATGACTGAGGAGCTCGACAGGAGGTTCAAAGAGGACAAACTTGGATGTTCCATGACAAAGTCACTCAGTCCTTTCACTAATTAACAGTGTATTCCAACTGGATAAATAACCCAAACACAGAAGCAAATGAAGCTGCGTGCATCCTCTGTGACTTCTATGAAGAGGATGAGGACCAGCTGAAAACCGAACTACAAGTCTTCCACTCCAGCTATCCTTCAAAAGTCCTCAGAAAAATCTTCGCCATACTGAGGAAAATTAGGGACTGGTTCATATTTCCAACCTTTGTGAAGAGGATACAAATCCATAAAACACTGCGAGGTACAATTGTTTCTGTGGAGAGATCTTTTTCAAGCAGAAAGTTATTAAAAACAGAGTAAGAAGCCTGCATGGAGAAAAACAGGTTTCTGACCGCCTACGGCTTGCAACTGAGAGAGAAATTCAGATCAAACATAACAAGGTCATTATATTCAAAGACATGGCACCAAAGAGATTACTTCTCTAAAGCAGGAAAAAGAAAATGATAACACAAGATTCTGAGCAAACGACTATCTAAATCAAGTATGTGGTCAATTTCATTTCAAGTTTTTTTATATATATTTTTTTTTACATTTGAGATGGTTGATTATTTTATAGACACAAATGTTTAATAATACTGTGTTCTGTTGTTACCAATTTTATCATAAAGCCAACCCGTAGAGTGTTAAACATTATTAAAAACATGAATCTGACAGAATATGAGTATTAATTTGAAATGGGTATACATACATGATGTTGAAACTGTGCAGGACTCACACTACCAGGACAATTAGCAATGATATGTGCCAAACAAATTGCCCTTTTTTCTACTCGAGCACCTGAACCCCAAAATGTCTGTGCACGCCACTGCTTATTTGCAAATGCTTAATGGTATTAAAGAGTATTACAAGTGTAAAGGTTAGCTTCAACACCTTCTAAGACACATTTACTGATTAAAAATTAAAACCGTAACCCAACAACCTGTGGTATTTTTTTAGAACCAAGAACAAGCGTTTAGAAAAATCATATGACTAAAAATCATGTTAAACACAAACTTTGTTATATTCTTTAGTTAACCAATATAATTTACAATTTAAAAGATAACTTTATAAAAATGAAAAAAAAACTGAGATGCTCTACTTTTGAGATACATATGAAAGCATAACATTTGTCTTTAAAATAACACATAAAAGTATTTTTTAATTGGCCATGGAACTAAAATGCTATAGGTTATCATGTAAGTTGTCAAGATCAACTTGCAACCATTCCAACCAATGTTTGCCGTGAATGGATCTACTCAAACTACGTGACATGACATACATTAAAACAAATTATAAAATTAAATATTATATTTATCAAATAAGTAAGCAAAGAAAATAAAAAATGTTGTTACTTATATCAAAATACGGTAATTTACACGTGCATTGTGCTCTCTTACCTCTTGAAGTGTTTCTAGTCCATTAAAAACATCAGCAAACTCTGTTGAGCCTTTGTTTAGAGTCTGGTCAGCAGGCAGCGTGTTGTCATTGTAAGATGATACAAACTTGAAGTCACTCGTTCTAGATCCTGTTGTCAGGTAGGTATCATAATTGTAAGCGCTGCGTAAAGTTCCCGTACCATCAACATCTGAGTAGTTTGGTGGAAGATAACCTCCAGGAATGGCAACTGCACCATCAAACAACAGTCTGGGCTTTCCTCTGCGACAAAACCTCACACCCAGGATGACAATAATGAAGGTCAGAAAGAAGGTGGACACAGAAACCAGCGCAATGACCAGATATGAAGTCAGTTTGGAGTTCTTTTCATCATAGGACATATCCTTTAGTTCTGGCACTTCAGCCAAGTTATCGGAAATAAGTAAATACATGGAACAGGTTGCAGACAGAGAGGGCTGTCCGTTATCTTTCACTGCAACAATCAGGTTCTGTTTTATGCTGTCAGATTCTAAAATGTCCCGCTGTGTCCTGATCTCTCCACTGTGTAGATCAATACTGAAAAGTCCAGGATCAGTGGCTTTGACTATATGATAGGACAGCCAGGCATTCTGTCCAGAGTCTGCGTCCACCGCTATGACTTTGGAGACCAGAGAGCCGCCATGTGCAGCTTTAGGGACCAGCTCAGTCATGAAGGAGCTGCCCTCCAGGGTGGGGTAGAGAATCTGAGGAGAGTTGTCATTCACATCCGATATGAACACACTGACTGTCACGTTGCTGCTAAGTGGAGGAGAACCATTGTCTCTGGCCATGACGTAGACTTTAAAACTCCTGAACTGTTCATAATCAAATGACCTCACAGCGTGGATCACCCCTGTTTCTCCATTAACAGATAGATAGGAGGACACTGAGGCACCGTTCACTTCAGCAGGTAAGAGAGAATAAATTACTGTACCATTTTGTCTCCAGTCTGGATCTCGAGCAGAAACGGAGCATAAAGTGGAGCCAGGTTTGTTATTTTCAGCAATATATGCGCTGTAAGACTGTTTCTGAAATACAGGTGGGTTGTCATTAATATCAGCTACAGATAACTGAAGAGTTTTAGAGGAGGATAGAGGTGGAGAGCCATCATCAATGGCAGTGATTGTAATATTGTAGTCAGTAAATAATTCGCGGTCCAGTTGCGCTGTGGTCACAAGAATGTAATAGTTTTTAATAGAGGGAACCAACTTAAATGGAACATTTTGCTGGATGGAACAGCGGACTTGTCCATTTTTCTCAGAATCTCTGTCCTGCACATTAATGATCCCCACTTCTGTACCAGGGGATATGTTTTCAGGTACAGGGTTGGACAGAGATTTCAGGTAAATTTCTGGTGCATTATCATTTACATCCTTAACATCCAATAACACTTTAGCATAAGAGTTTAGTCCTAATCCATCTTTAGCTTTCACTTTGATTTCAAAATTATTTCTTTCTTCATAGTCAAGCTCCCCCAAAAGTTTTATTTCTCCCGTTTTGGGATCAATTGAAAAGAAATTTATATCCTCCTCAGACACGTGCCCAAATTGATAAGTGACGTCTCCATTTACTCCTTCATCTGCATCAGTTGCACTGACGGTAATTACAATTGTGTCCGGTGGTGAGTTTTCAGGTACATTTGCTTTATAAATGGCCTGAGTAAACAAAGGAGCGTTATCATTAGCATCCAGCACTGTGACATGGATAATTACAGTACCTGATTTCTGGGGAGATCCGCCATCTAAAGCTGTTAGGAGTAAATTATTTTCATTTTGTTTTTCTCTATCAAGTTTTTTATCTAATTTCATTTCAACCTTATTGCCATCTACAGCAAGAAGGAAATTATCATTCTTTTGCAGTATGTAACGCTGCACCGCATTTTGACCTATATCTGCGTCATGGGCCTCCTCGATTGAAAAACTGTAGCCTATATCTGCGGACTCTCGTATTTCCATTTCAATTAATTTTTCATTGAATTGCGGTGAATTGTCGTTCACATCTTGTATCTGAAGGCTAATTCGGTGAAGCTCTAAAGGATTCTCTAACACTAAATCGGCTTTCAAAGCACACACGGGTTTTTTGCCACAAAGGATTTCTCTGTCTATTCTTTCCGACGTAATCAAGTCCCCGGTATTCATATTAATATCACAGTAACGCTTCCGAGTTCCTGCAAAATCAACACGGGCTTGTCGTGAGGCTAAGGTCCTCAGATCAACACCCAGATCCTTGGCCACATTTCCCACAACAGATCCTCGCTTCATCTCTTCTGGGATCGAGTAGCTCAGATCTCCACGTACCTGATGCCGCATTTCAATGAACAAAGCAAGGCACATGATCAGGGCAAGTCCTGCGAATCCCTTGTTTCTCATCTTGATTTAAAAAGGTCTTCAGGGTTGTGAAAAATTCCAGGGGAAGTGTTCAAAACATATTAAAAAACAGAGCTATAAAACTGTCAAATCCGCGGAAAGCAGCTACGGTATTATAGCGTCCTTCATAAAATGAGAACTCTATCTACACCTATTTAGCGTTCAGCTGTGAGTGGAGTGGTCAAAAACAAATTTCTGACAGTCTAGAGCGACATCTGCAGTCGCCTTTATTCTCCCACCACGTTCCTTCTTATAACCAAATGTATTCAGAAAAGAAACAAAAACAATTGCATTTCTTTTTAATATTCAAAATAATCATAAAAAAAACAGTTATATGAACTGTAGAGATAAAACGAATTTATTTTCAAACTTTTGCTATTTTTAATTAAGGCTCATTTCACTGTTTTGATTATCCATTAAAAAATGACAGTATATTTGTAATTTAATAATAGAAACTGATCCTTAACACAAAATGTTGCATTTTCTTTGTTAATTAAATTATTTTAATCAGATAAGGAGTATTTGACAAGTCAAATTAGACAATATCCTTTTCCTAGGGAAAAAGTTACAATAATGATAAATAAAAAATAACACAATACGAAGCTAGAGGGCGACAATCGAAGGCCCTTCATTCTTCTTTCTGATTTCTGCACATTAAGATAAGCAGCAGAGCTTTAATTTAGTGTTTTGATAGCTTAATGACACAAACCTTTAATTGGTCATGCATGTCAATGGTCATGAACGTTAGGTCCTAAAACTAAAGCTAACAAAACGTGTTTCATTTACTTTAGCTCATTTATGATTTGATCTGTTTAAGTGACAAGCTAACTTTCAATATATAATGTGTCGCTTTTCCAGTATGTATCAGGTCAAGTTCCAGGTCTGTCACAGGGCAATATTCATTTTATATAACATTTTGTATTCACGGCCCTTGTCGGAAGGAAATCCTTTTCTTCTAATGTTTTGCTGACAAATCTGTCGATGCAAAATAAGTTCAACTTTAGTATTTTTTTTCTTGATACAAAAGTGCTTCAAGAGAGTAATTGCTATATAATGCTTATGATGCTTTTGTAGACATTTATCCTTGGAAACGAAAAAAAAAATCACTAAAGGTTTTTGACATAGATATTATGGTTTCACACATTCTTTAAATAAAGAATAACAGCAAAACAAATAGGAATTTGATTGCACTTCAAATAGTGGAAGAGAAGCAGATACAATTTTTTAACAGGGACAACAAATTACAAGACGGAAATCTGTGGAGAAGGATCAGTTTGAGTAACCTTCAAGGCCCTATGAAGATGGTGGGAGACAAAAACAACAACAAAAAAAAAGAAACTGAGCTTATGGAAAGAACATTTTGTAAAACCAATCTAAAATAGCAGCTAAAGCGAAACAGTTGATGGCACTACTCTCATCCCGTGAAAAAAAAAAAAAAAAAACTGCCTTACCTTATTGGATGTCTCCAAGGTTAATAGGTTATCCTCAAAGTCAGATGGGCTTTTCTTTAGAGTCTGGTCAGCAGGCAACGTGTTATCATTGTAGGATGATACAAACTTAAAGTCACTCGTTCTAGATCCTGTTGTCAGGTAGGCATCATAATTGTAAGCGCTGCGTAAAGTTCCAGTGCCATCAACATCTGAGTAGTTTGGGGGAAGATAAGGGCCAGGAATGGCAACTGCTCCATCAAACAACAGTCTGGGCTTTCTTCTGCGACAAAACCTCACACCAAGGATGATGATGATGAAGGTCAGAAAGAAGGTGGACACAGAAACCAGCGCAATGACCAGATAAGAAGTCAGTTTTGAGTTCTTCTCATCATAAGAAATATCTTTCAGTTCTGGCACCTCAGCCAAGTTATCAGAAATAAGTAAATACATGGAACAGGTGGCAGACAGAGAGGGCTGTCCGTTATCTTTCACTGCAACAATCAGGTTCTGTTTCATGTTGTCCGATTCTAAAATGTCCCGCTGTGTCCTGATCTCTCCACTGTGCAGATCAATGGTGAAAAGTCCAGGATCAGTGGCTTTGACTATATGATAGGACAGCCAAGCATTCTGTCCGGAGTCAGCATCCACTGCTATGACTTTGGACACTAGAGAGCCTCCATGTGCAGCTTTTGGAACCAGCTCAGTCATGAAGGAACTGCCCTCCACGGTGGGGTAGAGAATCTGAGGAGAGTTGTCATTCACATCCGATATAAACACACTGACTGTCACGTTGCTGCTGAGTGGAGGAGAACCATTGTCTCTGGCCATGACGTAAACTTTAAAACTCCTGAACTGTTCATAATCAAATGACCTCACAGCATGGATTACCCCTGTGTCTCCATTAACAGATAGATAAGAGGACACTGAGGCACCGTTCACCTCAGCAGGCAACAGAGAATAAATCACTGTACCGTTTTGTCTCCAGTCTGGGTCATAAGCAGAAACGGAGCATAAAGTGGAGCCAGGTTTGTTATTTTCAGCAATATATGCGCTGTAGGACTGTTCCTGAAATACAGGTGGGTTGTCATTAATATCAGCTACAGATAACTGAACAGTTTTAGAGGAGGATAGAGGTGGAGAGCCATCATCAATGGCAGTGATTGTAATATTGTAGTCAGTTGATAATTCGCGGTCCAGTTGCGCTGTGGTCACTAGAATGTAATAGTTTTTAATAGAGGGAACCAACTTAAATGGAACATTTTGCTGGATGGAACAGCGAACCTGTCCATTTTTCTCAGAATCTCTGTCCTGAACATTAATGATCCCCACTTCTGTACCAGGGGATATGTTTTCAGGTATAGGGTTGGACAGAGATTTCAGGTAAATTTCTGGTGCATTATCATTTACATCCTTAACATCCAATAACACTTTAGCATAAGAGTTTAGTCCTAATCCATCTTTAGCTTTCACTTTGATTTCAAAATTATTTCTTTCTTCATAGTCAATTTCCCCCAATAGTTTTATTTCTCCCGTTTTGGGATCAATTGAAAATAAATTCATATCCTCCTCAGACACGTGCCCAAATTGATAAGTGACGTCTCCATTAACTCCTTCATCTGCATCAGTTGCACTGACGGTAATTACAATTGTGTCCGGTGGTGAGTTTTCAGGCACATTTGCTTTATAAATGGCCTGAGTAAACAAAGGAGCGTTATCATTAGCATCCAGCACTGTGACATGGATAATTACAGTACCTGATTTCTGTGGAGATCCGCCATCTAAAGCTGTTAGGAGTAAATTATTTTCATTTTGTTTTTCTCTATCAAGTTTTTTATCTAATTTCAGTTCAACCTTGTTGCCATCTACAGCAAGAAGGAAATTGTCATTCTTTTGCAGTATGTAGCGCTGCACTGCATTTTGACCTATATCTGCGTCATGGGCCTCCTCGATTGAAAAACTGTAGCCTATTTCTGCGGACTCTCCTATTTCCATTTCAATTAATTTTTCATTGAATTGCGGTGAATTGTCGTTCACATCTTGTATCTGAAGGCTAATTCGGTGAAGCTCTAAAGGATTCTCTAACACCAAATCGGCTTTCAAAGCACACACGGGTTTTTTGCCACAAAGGATTTCTCTGTCTATTCTTTCCGACGTAATCAAGTCCCCGGTATTCATATTAATATCACAGTAACGCTTCCGAGTTCCTGCAAAATCAACACGGGCTTGTCGTGAGGCTAAGGTCCTCAGATCAACACCCAGATCCTTGGCCACATTTCCCACAACAGATCCTCGCTTCATCTCTTCTGGGATCGAGTAGCTCAGATCTCCACGTACCTGATGCCGCATTTCAATGAATAAAGCAAAGCACATGATCAGGGCAAGTCCTGCGAATCCTTTTTCTCTCATCTTGATTTGAATAGGTCTTCAGGGTTTGTGAAACAGTAAAAAGGAAGCGTTCAAAACATATTCAAAAAACAGAGCTATAAAACTGTCAAATCCGCGGAAAGCAGCTACGGTATTATAGCGTCCTTCATAAAATGAGAACTCTATCTACACCTATTCAGCGTTCAGCTGTGTGTGGAGTGGTCAAAAATAAATTTCTGACAGTCTAGAGCGACATCTGCAGTCGCTTTTTTTCTCACACCACGTTTCTTCTTATAACCAAATGTATTCAAAATAGAAACAAAAACAGAATTGCATTCCTTTTTAAGATTTAAAATAAATAAAAAATTAAAACAGTTATATGAACTACAGAGATAAAACGAATGTGTCTTCAAACTTAAGCTATTTTTAATTAAGGCCCCTTTCCCTGTTTTGATTATCCATTCAAAACTGACAGGAGATTTGTATTCTAATAATAGAAACTGATACTTACACACAAAATGTCGCGATTTCTTGTTAGTTCAATATATGATTTTAATCAGATAAGAAGTATTTGACAAGTCAAAGTAGACGTTGGCCTATTTTTACGAAAAAGGTTACAATAATGAAAAAAATAAATAAGAACACAATAACAAGCTAGAGGATGAAAAGGGGAGGTGCTTCATTCATCGTTCCGATTTCTGCACATTAACAAATGCAGCAAAGCCTTAGTTTCGTGCTTTGATAGTTTAATGACACAAACCGTTGATTAACCATATATGTCAATAAATAGAATATTAGGTCCTAAAACTAAAGCTAACAAAACGTGTTTCATTTACTTTAGCTCATTCATGATCTCATCTGTTTATGTGACAAGCTACAACTTTCAAGGTATTTTGTGTCGCTTTTAGAGAATGTGTTTCATCCAAATGTTGCTTAACTCTTAACAACTAACCAGAGTAAAATCTGTTGCTAAAATTAAAAATGAAAATAGTTAAAGATATTATTGTTTAAGAATGTTTTCATCTTCAAGGATTAAAAATGTAAGATAATTTTTTTATTAATAATTCTGAAGCAATAAGGAATAAATAAATAAAATATCAGTACCTTTTCCACCAATTCATCCATCCATCCATCCATCCATCCATCCATCCATCCATCCATCCATCCATCCATCGGTACACCCTGAACAGGTCGCCAGTCTGTCGCAGGGCAATATTACTTAATTTTATAAAACATTTCGTATTCACGGCCCTTCACGGAATGAAATCCTATTCTTGTAGTGTTTTGCTGACAACTCTGTTGATGCAAAACAAGTTTAACTTCAGTATTTTCTTCTTGTTACAAAAGTACTTCAAGAGAGTAATTGCTATATAATACTTATGACGCGTTTGCTAACATTTATCCTTGGAAAAAAAATACTAAAGGTTTTTGACATAAATATTATGGTTTCACACATTCTTTACATAAAGAATAACAGCAAAACAGAGAGGAATTTGATTGCACTTCAAATAGTGGAAGAGAAGCAGAAACAATTGTTTAACAGGGAGAACAAATTACAAGACGGAAATCTGTGGAGAAGGGTCGGTTTGAGTAACCTTAAAGACCTATAAAGATGGTGGGAGACAAAAACAAAAAAAAAAGAAATAATTTTTGATAGAACATTTTGTAAAACCAATCTAAAATAACAACTAAAGCGAAACAGTTAACGGTACTATTCTCATTCCGTGAAAAAAAAAAAAAAAAAAAAAAAAACGTCTTACCTTATTGGATGTCTCCAGGGTTAATAGGTTATCCTCAAAGTCTGATGGGCTTTTCTTTAGAGTCTGGTCAGCAGGCAACGTGTTATCATTGTAGGATGATACAAACTTGAAGTCACTCGTTCTCGATCCTGTTGTCAGGTAGGCGTCATAATTGTAAGCGCTGCGTAAAGTTCCCGTGCCATCAACATCTGAGTAGTTTGGGGGAAGATAAGGGCCAGGGATGGTAACTGCTCCATCAAACAACAATCTAGGCTTTCTCCTGTGGCAAAACCTCACACCCAGGATGATAATAATGAAGGTCAGAAAGAAGGTGGACACAGAAACCAGCGCGATGATTAGATATGAGGTCAGTTTGGAGTTCTTATCATCAGAAGAAATATCTTTTAATTCTGGCACCTCAGCCAAGTTATCGGAAATAAGTAAATACATGGAACAGGTGGCAGACAGAGAGGGCTGTCCGTTATCTTTCACTGCAACAATCAGGTTCTGTTTCATGCTGTCAGATTCTAAAATGTCCCGCTGTGTCCTGATCTCTCCACTGTGCAGATCAATGCTGAAAAGTCCAGGATCAGTGGCTTTGACTATATGATAGGACAGCCAAGCATTCTGTCCAGAATCTGCGTCCACTGCTATGACTTTGGAGACCAGAGAGCCTCCATGTGCGGCTTTAGGGACCAGCTCAGTCATGAAGGAGCTGCCCTCCAGGGTGGGGTAGAGAATCTGAGGAGAGTTGTCATTCAGATCCGATATAAACACACTGACGGTCACGTTGCTGCTGAGTGGAGGAGAACCATTGTCTCTCGCCATTACGTAGACTTTAAAACTCCTGAACTGTTCATAATCAAATGACCTCACAGCATGGATCACCCCCGTGTCTCCATTTACAGATAGATAAGATGACACTGAGGCACCGTTCACCTCAGCAGGTAAAAGAGAATAAATCACTGTACCGTTTTGTCTCCAGTCTGGATCTCGAGCAGAAACGGAGCATAAAGTGGAGCCAGGTTTGTTATTTTCATTAATATTTGCGCTATAGGCCTGTTTCTTAAACACAGGTGGGTTATCGTTAATATCAGCTACAGATAACTGAACAGTTTTAGTAGAAGAAAGAGGCGGAGATCCCTCGTCAGCGGCAGTGATTGTAATATTGTAATCAGACACTAATTCACGGTCCAGATGTGCTATGGTCACAAGAGAGTAATAGTTTTTAATTGAAGGAACCAATTTAAAAACTACATTTTCCTGAATGCTGCAGCGAACCTGCCCGTTGTTATCAGAGTCTCTGTCCTGCACGTTAATAACTCCAACCTCTGTACCAGGTAACGCATTCTCAGGCACGGGATTGGACAGAGACTGAACAAAAATAGCCGGTTCATTATCATTTACATCAATAATATCTAATAATACTTTCGCATAAGAGGTAAGCCCTAGTCCATCTTTGGCTACAACGCTTATTTCAAATGAACTCTTTTCTTCAAAGTCAATCACACCCCTTACTTTAATTTCCCCGACATTTGGATCAATATAAAATAAATCTAAATCGTCTGTAGACATATGACCAAAGTCATAACTCACGTATCCATTTACTCCTTCATCTGCATCAGCGGCGCTTACACTGATCACTATTGTTTCTGGTGGTGCGTTTTCAAGCACAGTTGCTTTATAAACATCCTGACAAAACACTGGGGCGTTATCATTAGCATCGAGCACTGTCACATGGATGACCACAGTACCTGATTTCTGCGAAGATCCGCCATCTGATGCTGTTAAAAGTAAATTGATTTCCTCTTGTTTCTCCCGATCAAGCTTATTTTCAAGTAGTAATTGAACCCTTTTCTTATCAGCTGCAAGTATAAAGTTATCATTGTTTTCAAGGGTGTACTTTTGAATATCATTTTGACCTATATCCGCATCATGGGCCTCCTCGATAGAGAAATGGTTACCTCTCTCTGCAGACTCACTTATTTCCAATTCGATGACATTCTTTTTGAATTTTGGAGAATTATCATTCACATCTTGTACGTGAAGATTTAAACGATGTAGCTCCAAGGGATTTTCTAAGACCAGACCTATTTTCACGGCACATGAGGGTTTTTTGCCACAAAGGCTTTCTCTGTCTATTCTCTCGGATGTAATTAAATCCCCGGTTTTCATATCAATGTCACAATAACGCTTTCGATTCCCTTCTGCATCCACACGGGCCTTTCGAACAGACAGTGTCATTAGATCAATTCCCAGGTCCTTGGCGACATTTCCAATGATAAATCCGGGTTTATTCTCTTCTGGAAAAGAATAGCTCAAATCTCCGTGAACGAGAGGTGTTGTCACTATAAAAGGAACAAAGAAGAGGAACATAACATACATCGGAAATCCTTTGTTTCCCATGATCGGAAAATGTCTTTATCCCGAATATGTTTAGTAAATGCACAAAAATATTACAAAAACGGATCAAATTATGGCCTTAGCTAAGACGACGAAATGTACGGAGTGGGAGTAATTTCCTAAACAATTACATCTTTGTAGAGCTATGGCAGTAGGTGGAGATGTGTGCTCTGCTTTTTACGTGAACCCACAGCGGCACCGTGAGTCAGCTTTGATTGTCTGCAGAGAATATTTTCCCATCCACAATATCTAAATTCAACCTGTAATTTTAACCGAAACTTAAATACATCAAATAAAAATATAAAACAGTTTAAGAACATGTAGACGTTGCTGTTGTATTTCTGTTGAATTGAGTTCTGCTCTCAAGCTTCAGGCGGTGGTTTCAAGACCATGGAGAGAGACAGGGACGTTCAAATATTGAGACTTAACTTTTTGCGAAATTTCGTATGGTTTAAATTAAACTTAAGATAAAAAAAATAACTGTCGAGGCAAATGATATGCTTAATAATAATTTATTAATACGCAGATTAATACTCTTTTGGCTTTTAATGTGCTATTTTTATAGACAGATACAGACATATATGAAGTGCACGCCATCTGGGGCATCTTTTACAGAACAGAACATATTGAAATGCAGAGAGAATATGGATTCTCTGAACTGCATGTATATGGACCAAGTAAAACTCATTTATACATCCCAAAAACAACTGTAATGACGCGCACATGGCATGTTACACCACTGCACCCTGAACTTACATGCGTGTAAACCATCACTGTACGTGTCATTATAAGCGCATCATCAAATAACATATTTTACCGCAGAAAAAACAAAAACAACTTAATGGCTGTATTAGAGTACCGGTGGCTGTTTGTAAACTAACCTTATATAATATTAACTGCAATATTTTTAGTCACTTCTCTTGCAGGCTACTAATGGGAGAAAATAAAAATCCACACTCGGTGATCCTCGCATCGCCTTTATATATTAATGAATATTAGATTTCGAAACTGAAGATTTAGCTAGAAATTTAAGCATTTAATAAAAATAAAAAAAAGATATAACTTTTTTAG